GTTATCTACGAGAATGGGTCTCTGGTTGAAATCTGAAATTCCTTGGATGAAAAATATATCCGCAGGGTTCGGATGAGACCACATGTTGCTTGTTCAATATCTCAAGCCCTGAAAGATGAATTAATTCTTGAAGGAAATGACATTGAGCTTGTTTCAAATTCAGAGGCTTTAATTCAGCAAGCCACAACAGTTAAAAACAAGGGAATTAGGAAAATTTTGGATGTCATCTATGTCTCTGAAAAAGGAACTGTTCAGCAGGCTAATGAATAAGATCTAAGAGTTGTCCAGCTACGGAAACAAGATGCCAGATGATTCCTAAGACCTATTTGTGATACTTAAATGATGTAAAAGACCTATTGATTTGGAAAATAAAAATAAAAATACATAGAACAGAAAGACTGGTAAATAGACATTAACAATCTTTGAGTAGTGAGCTGTGAGTGGTTTGTTCTTTCATTTTTCAAGTTTTCAAATATGAGCTACTTTATGATGGATGAAAATAGATGTTGGGCATATTCTTCAGCTAACTATAAAATATTTATTAACGGAAAAAAAGAAAATATTTATGACCCATCCAATAGTGTAGAGCCAGGATATGTTTTCTTAGTCTTAATAGTTACATAAGAAAATATTGGGGGGCTGGGCACGGTGGCTCATGACTGTAATCCCAACACTTTGGGAGGCCGAGGTGGGTGGATCACCTGAGGTCAGGAGTTTGAGACCAGCCTGGCCAACATGGTGAAACCCTCTCTCTACTAAAAATACAAAACTTAGCCGGGCGTGGTCACAGGCACCTGTAATCCAAGGTATTTGGGAGGCTGAGGCAGGATAATCGCTTGAACCTGGGAGGCGGAGGTTGCAGTGAGCCGAAATTGTGCCACTGCACTCCAGCCTTAGTGACAAAAAAAAGGGGGGTACTCCCTTACTAAAGGCAGGGACCATGGCTTAAAATTCTGTGGCCGTGATATCCACTATATGCCTTACACATAGAGAGGTCTAGGAAATAACTGCTTGAGCACAGAAACCAGTACTCCTAGCTTTGATGGAAAGAACTGTATTTGACTAGTTGTAAGTCTTTGGGTTTGGTGTCCTTAAGGTAATTACCTGCTTGAGCATTAGCTCATATGAAGTGGGCAAGTTGTGTCTATTCTTTTTTTTTTTTTTTTTTTTTTTTTATTTAAGAGATGGTGTCTCACCCAGGAGTGCAGTGGTGTAATTGTAGCACTGTAGACTTGAACTCCTCAAACAGCCCTCCTGCCTCAGCCTCTCAGGTAGCCAAGACCACAGGTGCATGCCACTATGCCTGGCTAATTTTTATTTATTTTTTAAATTTATTTATTCATTTATTTTTTTGAGATGGAATCTTGCTCTGTCACTCAGGCTGGAATGCAGTGGTGCGGTCTCAGCTTACTGCAACCTCTGCCTTTTGTGTTCAAGCAGTTCTTCTGACTCAGCCTCTTGGTAGCTGGGATTAACAGGTTTGCACCACCATGCCCAGCTAATTTTTTGTGTTTTTAGTAGAGACAGGGTTTCACCATGTTGGCCAGGCTAGTCTCAAACTCCTGACCTCAAGTGATCCATCCACTTTAGACTTCCAAAGTCCTGGGATTACAGGTGAGAGGCACCGTACCTGGCTTAATTTTTTTTTAATAGAGATGGGGTCTGGCTATGTTGTCCAGCCTGGTCTAAAACTTCTGGCTTCAAGCAGTCCTTCAGTCTCAGCCTCCCACAGTGCTAAGATTACAAATGTGAGCTGCCATACCCAGCCCATTCTATGTCTTAACTGTAGAACTAATAATTTGGGATAAAAGTCCAGGCGCAGTGGCTCATGCCTGTAATCCCAGCACTTTGGAAGGCCAAAGCAAGCAGATCACAAGGTCAGGAGTTCAAGACCAGCCTGGCCAACATAGTGAAACCCCATCTATACTAAAAATATAAAAATTAGCCGAGCATGGTGGTGCATACCTGTAGTCCCAGCTACTCGGGAAGCTAAGGCAGGAGAATTGCTTGAACCCAGGAGACAGAGGCTGTGGTGAACCAAGATTGCATCACTGCCCTCTGGCCTGGGCAACAGAGCAAGACTTTGACTCAAAATAATAATAATAATAATTAGGGATTTTAAAAAGCCAATTTTTAGGCCAGGCACGGTGGCTCACGCCTGTAATCCCAGCACTTTGGGAGGCTGAGGCGGGTGGATCACAAGGTCAAGAGATCGAGACCATTCTGGTCAACATGGTGAAACTCTGTCTCTACTAAAAATACAAAAAATTAGCTGGGCATGGTGGCGTGTGCCTGTAATCCCAGCTACTTGGGAGGCTGAGGCAGGAGAATTGCCTGAACCCAGGAAGCGGAGGTTGTGGTGAGCCGCTGAGATCACGCCATTGCACTCCAGCCTGGGTAACAAGAGCAAAACTCCGTCTCAAAAAAAAGCCAATTTTTGTCTTATAATAATAATAAAAATAATAATTAGGGATAAAAAGCCAATTTTTGTCTTATAAGGGATAAGAAAATAATTTTTGTCCTGTAATAATAATAATAATAATAATTAGGGATGAAAAAACAATCTTTGTCTTATTAGGGATAAGACAAATAATAATAATTAGGGATTTAAAAGCCAGTTTTTGTCCACTCATTGCTAATCTTATTGTTTCCTTACAGACAAAAATTCATTATCAGTCCAAAGCATTAAACAGTAATATTTTTAAAATTCAGCTGGCCAGGCGTGATGGCTCACTCCTGTAATCCCAGCACTTTGGGAGGCTGAGGCAGGTGGATCACGAGGTGAGGAGTTCAAGACCAGCCTGGTCAACATGGTGAAACCCCTTCTCTACTAATAATACAAAAATTAGCCGGGTGTGGTGGCACGCACCTGTAGTCCCAGCTACTCAGGAGGCTGAGGCAGAAGAATCACTTGAACCTGGGAGGCAGAGGTTGCAGTGAGCCGAGATTGCATCACTGCACTCCAGCCTGAGTGACAGAGCAAGACTGTCGCAAAAAAAAAAAAAAAAAAAAAAAAAAAAAGAGGCTGGGCAGAGTGGCTCACTCTGTAATCCCAGCACTTTGGGTGGCCAAGGGAGGCGGATTACGAGGTCAAAAGACCGAGACCATCATGGCCAACCTGATGAAACCCAGTTTCTGCTAAAAATACAAAAATTAGCCAGGCGCGGTGGCTCAAGCCTGTAATCCCAGCACTTTGGGAGGCCGAGGAGGCTGGATCATGAGGTTGAGAGATCGAGACCATCCTGGTCAACATGGTGAAACCCCATCTCTACTAAAAATACAAAAAACTCGCTGGGCGTGGTGGCGCGTGCCTGTAATCCCAGCTACTTAGGAGGCTGAGGCAGGAGAATTGCCTGAGTCCAGGAGGCGGAGGTTGCGGTGAGCCGAGATCGCGCCATTGCACTCCAGCCTGGGTAACAAGAACGAAACTCCATCTCAAAAAAAAAAAAAAAAAAAAAAAAATACAAAAATTAGCTGGCATGGTGGTGCACGCCTGTAGTTCCAGCTATTCAGGAGGCTGAGGCAGGAGAATCGCTTGAACCCAGGAAGCAGAGGTTTCAGTGAGCCCAGATTGTGCCACTGCATTCCAGCCTGGCAACAGAGCAAGATTCTGTCTAAAATAAATAAATAAATAGGAATTCAGTCCTTGCTAATTCATTATTAGATCATCAGAGTCTACATGTATATTTGATATAACAGGTACTAATGTAATATTTGATACTGGTTTAAATAAATGAATTAATTTTATTGATACAGGACTTTAAATAATGTCCTGAAAATCTACAGAGGAGGAACTCATGAGTAAAGAGGAGCTAGACTATAATGAATACTTTTTCTAACCAAGACCCAAGAAAATTAAGGATTTCTGTAAGACCTTTCAACTTGTGATTTTTGTGGGCCCAGTAATTCTTATGAATTAAAGATCTTTTATAGTTCTGATACATGATTATATAACACATTATAAGTTTTTCAGCTTTTGTTTTACTTAGTAATATCCATTTATAGCTTAGTTTAATAGTTGGTACATGAAAGTAATTTATGTATTTTTCCTTATGAAAAATTGAGTATGGGCAAGCTCACCAAAGTAGCAGATTTCTAAAAACCCAAGTCTAGACCTTTGAGGAGTTCATGTGCACACAAGCCAGTGCAAAGTAGAGAGAATAGGGATAAAGTAACTGGCTGGAAAGTAGCTATAGGGTAGAAATCAACAGATCTTTAGTAGAAAAGGGATTTTAATGAAAGGTGGATTAAGTCATGTCTAGTCTAATCATTTACAGATTTAAAAAGAAGTAGAATCCTTTGTTCAAATCAAAACTTTTGCAGAATACCAATATTATAAATATATAAAGGTTGGGCTGTTTGGGTTGAAACAAGGTTTGACATGTATAGGAAACAAAATGCCATCCCTCTTGAGCCTCTCTATCTCTGTTCTAGTGGGCCCTAGGGAGTACAGTTTAAAACAGCTGAACTAGATGGGGTGTAGTGGCTCACAACTGTAATCCCAGTGCTTTGGGGGGCCAAGGCAGGAGAATTTCTTGAGGCCAGACACTGAAGACCAGCCTGGGCAGCAGAGTGAGATCCTCTCTCTACCAAAAAAAAAAAAAAAAAAAAAATTAGCCAGATGTGGCACACATCTGTGTTCCCAACTACTCAAGAGGCTGAAGTGGGAAGATTGCTTGGGCCCAGGAATTCAAGCCTGCAGTGAGCTATGATCGTACCTGTGCACTCTAGTCTGAACAACAGAATGAGACCCTGTCCCTCCCACAAGAAAAGAAAAACCCCTCTGCAATGTAGCCTGACAAATAGGAAATACTAGACATTAATATGTAATAGGGAAGCATTTTCTTCAGGCTTTCAAAGATGTGAAATTGTTATGGACTGTTTTCTTACCCCTTACCAGAAAAGAGTGCTTCACCATTGAGGTGCCTGCTAGAAAAATCACTCTACTTATTTGAGAGTCTTCCCTTGACCTTTTGGGATGCTGGCTTTGTGTTTTTTAGCTCTTGAATGTCGTCTCTCAACTAGCCAAACAGAATCTGCGACTGCTGGTCCTAGGCCGGAAGCATATGCTAAGAAAGAGTTCCCAGTGGAGAAAGGATGAGATGGAAGAGGTACAAAAGCAAGCCCGCTGTTTTTTTGCTGATAACATGTAAGTGTTGGAGGTTACAGGTGAATTGCATTGTGCTCCAGACATCCGCCTGTTAGTTACCTAATTTAAAACCTATTTTTTAAATGCATGTGTATATGTATACTCACTCTCATAAAAAAAAAAAAAAAAAAAGATTTGAGACAACTTATGAAACTACAGTTTCTTCTAAAAAGAAAAAACACTACAGTTTCCATGGCAGGATAAACTTAGATGAGGAAATCAGGATAAAGGAGAAGTCGGGGGAAGATGAGTCAGGAGTGAGATTAGTACACAGAATATATAAGATCCTAAGTAGATCATTTAGCAAATACTTGACAAACAGGAGCACCTTCTATGTTCTGGAGAAAGACAGTGAAAAAGACAAAGTCCCTGCCCTCTTAGAATTTACAATAAAAAGATAAACAAATAAACAGATAATGTCATTCCAGGTAGTGATCAATAGTATGGTGACAATAAAGCAAGGTAGATAGAAAGAGTTTAGGTAAGGGATAGTCAGAGGGTAGTGAATGGGGTGGTCAAAAACAGCCTTTCTGAGGGGGACAAATTCAGTGAGGAGTGAGTTGAGAAAGGGGGAGGGGTAGTGGGAAGAACATCCCAAATAACAAGAAGTATTTAAAAAGCCCTGAGGCAGGCATAAGCTTGGCATGTGTTTGAGGAAAGCAAGAAGTCCAGTTCAGCTATAAGAGCAAGAGGGAAAGTAATAAATTCTGAGATTAGAGAGAAGGCAGAGACCACAACACAGATGATCTTGAGGGTCCTGGTAGATAAGCAAGAGGCCTAGATTTTATTCTAAATATAAGGAGAAAATTGCTCTTGGGCTGCAGCTTACCTGGAAGCCAAAGGAACATGATAAACATGGTCACTAACAAAACCTGCAGTGGGCCAGCCACGGTGGCTAATGCCTACAATCCCAGCACTTTGGGAGGCCAAGGCAGGCGGATCACTTGAGGTCAGGAGTTTGAGACCAGCCTGGCCAACATAGCGAAACCCCACCTCTACTAAAAATACAATTAGTCTGGTGTGGTGGCACACACCTGTAGTCCCAGCTACTCGGGAGGCTGAGGCAGCAGAATCACTTGAACCTGGGAAGCAGAGATTGCAGTGATCCAAGATCTCCCCACTGCACTCCAGCCTGGATTACAGAGTGAGACTCTGTCTCAAAAAAAAAAAAAAAAACTGTTTAACTACCTACAGTAGCCATAAAGTAAGAAGAAAACAGCTAATTAGGAGAAGCACAATCCACAACAGCACATACAAACTCTTAATTTACATTGAGGTTTTCATATTGTTTATGCTAACAAAACTTTATTTCCAACTTTGCTTAGATAGTGTGTATGCCTCAAACCCAAATCTAGGTTTCACTAGTCTGAATGTGACAACTTCAAGATTGTCAGTATTCCCCAAATCATTTATTATTTTAAAAGTACAGTGGCTCTCAATGCATAAAGCAAGGGGGAAGCTAATGTCTCAGCCAGTTCGCAAACTACATCCCTTCTTTAGGCTGGAAGATGGTGCTTCCATTTCTCTAAAAAGCAGGAGACCTCATGGCAACATTGACAGTAAGATTTCAGGCTTGGGAATTAGTTTACCAAGGTTGAGATCATGGCCCTGCCACTCCCGGTCTGGGAAAGGTTTTTCCTTTCTGTGTGTCTTCCTTATCTCCTGTGTAACTTTTATGGGGTTGTTTTAAGGATTAAATAAGATAATATGTGTAAACAACTCATGTAAAACTCTTGGCACAGCACCAAGTACATGGAAAACATGTATGTTAGTCACTATCATGATTGTTATTATTTTTCTTATATGGAAGAATTAGATAAATTTGAAGTGTTAGGACCAAGAAGCCTGTTGGAAAGTGGTCTCACTGCTTGGTTTGGGGTCTATATTTATTGCATCAGCTGAAGTTCCAAAGTCAGTTATAACGATCGATTCACTGACCTTCTGTGGCTTTGGATTTGAATATTTAAATACTTAACACCAAATTTGTTTTCCACTAATGTGCCAAAGAAGCTTTTCAAACGTACACTAGAGAAAATAGTATAGTGAATAGTGAGTCCGCATGTAACTGTCACCCAACTCCAACAATTACCATCATTTTGCTATTTTTGTTCCATAAACCCCACACATTTTTTCTTTTTCTTCTTTCCTGGAGAGTTATAAGGCAGAATTTGTCATTTTATAATTTCACTTGAAATACTTCAGGATAAAGTAAATTTTAAATGGTGCCTATGTAAGATCATTTGAATCAAGGTATAGGGCAAATCACAAGTTGCAGTCTGAATCTCCTAAAGCAAGGTTGTTACTGTCATTTTTACAGCACATTTATTAAAATGATAAATGCTGGCCAGGTGCAGTGGCTCACGCCTATAATCCTAATAAATCACAAGGTCAGGAGTTCAAGACTAGCTTGGCCAACATGGTGAAACCCCATCTCTACTAAAAATACAAAAAATTAGCTGAGTATAGTGGCGGGCACCTGTAATTCCAGCTACTCTGGAGGCTGAAGGCAGGAGAATCGCTTGAACCCAGGAGATGGAGGTTGCAGTGAGCTGAGACTGTACTGCACTCTAGCCTGGGCAGCAGAGCAAAACTCCATCTCAAAAAATAAAATAAAATAAAATAAAATGATAAGTGCTGTGGTTGATGGTCTGTTGGAGGCCCTGAGTCAGCTAGCTCTTACCAAAGAAAATGATTTTGGGTGCTGATCCAGGTGACTGTCTAGAAGATGCTCTGAAATACCAGTTCAGCTTTAGGGGCAGCCAGTTATTTGGTGGCTTGTAAAAGTCTCATCCTGTCCTAGTAGTATTTTGGGTGTTTCTTGAATTTGGGTGAAGAGAGTGGGGAAAGGGTATGCTCTGTGGTAGATAAGGCAAATAGGAAAAATGCCCAAAGAGAAGCAACTTTTGAGTGTGAGGAGAGCATTGTTAGAATTCATCGTTCTAGTGGAAGAGCCCAGTGAGCTGTGAGACTCCCAGGCATTAGCATTTCGTTCCCCTCAGCTTTCCATCTGTGTTCTAGATAGTATTGCTTGCCAGCCAAAGACTTCCAGGTGGTTCTTAAGTATCACTAGGATCCTGTTGGTCAAGAATTCAGTCACCTCCAAGACAAGTAAGTAAAAAGCATGGTGAAAAACGCTGTCCTCTGCCTCTTCAGCTGTGCTTGATTGTGTCCTTTCTTATGCCTGGTTCAGCTCAAAAGATGATCCATTCCTTCTGTATGCCACACTGCACTCCGGAAATCACTGCAAGTTTATCACAAACGACCTGATGCGGGACCACAAGGCCTGTCTGCCTGATGCCAATACCCAACGCCTGTTTTTTAAGTGGCAGCAGGGACATCAGCTGGCAATTATAAATGGGTTTCCAGGATCAAAACTAACCTTTCAGGTAATGGTATCTGTTCTCTATGTAATATTAACAGAGTCAAGTATACAGTAGGAATGTGGCATAGAAAAAGAGTGTCAACTGATTAAAGGTTCTAAATGCTTTATTTTTCTCAGTTTTAGGTTAATATTTGAAACTAGCCAGTTCCTAGAAAGAATCTGCTAGAGGTGAAGTTTTCATAGGCCAACCCCAAATTAATTAAAACATTTAGGATGTCATCAACTGTGACTTCAATTATGTCATAAATTATGACTTCTTATGTTTTTTTATTTTTGTTTATTTGCAATAGCTCAAATTCCTTATAGTTTGTTATACTTCTGCTAATTCATTTTTCCTGTTTAATTCATTTCTATGACACAGTCTCAATTGACTTGTCCTTTGACTCTAGTTAAGAGATCTATAATATAAGGATGCATCTTGTGTGAAAGCAAAAGGAGAGAATCCAAAGTAAGTTATTACAGAAAAGTACACTGCCCCGTGGTATAATAAATATGTTTCAGTGATCAAAAAATATTGGCCAGGTGTGGTGATTCACGCCTATAATCCCAGTACTTTCAGAGACCAAGACGAGTAAATCGCCGGAGGTCAGGAGTTGAAGATCAGCTTGGCCAACACGGAGAAACCTCGTCTCTATTAAAAATATAAAAATTAGCCAGGCGTGGCAGCATGCATCTCTAATCTCAGCTACAAGGGAGGCTGAGGTACAAGAAGCAGTTGAACCTGGGAGGCAGAGGTTGCAGTGAGCTGAGATCATGCCACTGCACTCCAGCGTGGGTGACAGGGCAAGAATCTGTCTTAAAAAAAAAAAAAAAAAAAAAAAAACAGGTTTGGGGGAGTGGGCAGACATTGGTCAAAGGAGAAAAAATTTCAGTTAGATAAAAGGAATAAGTTCCATGATGACTATAGTTAATAACAATGTACTGTATCCTTAAAAATTGCTAAGAGTAGATTTTAAGTGTTCTCACTACAAAAATTATAAGTAGGCCGGGCGCGGTGGCTCAAGCCTGTAATCCCAGCACTTTGGGAGGCCGAGGCGGGTGGATCACGAGGTCGAGAGATCGAGACCATCCTGGTCAACATGGTGAAACCCCGTCTCTACTGAAAATACAAAAAATTAGCTGGGCATGTTGGCACGTGCCTGTAATCCCAGCTACTCAGGAGGCTGAGGCGGGAGAATTGCTTGAATCCAGGAGGCGGAGGTTGCGGTGAGCCAAGATCGCGCCATTGCACTCCAGCCTGGGTAACAAGAGCAAAACTCCGTCTCAAAAAAAAAAATTTTAAGTATATAAAGTCATGCTCATGTTAATTAGCTCAATTTAACTATTCTACAATGTATACATATTTCAAAAACATGCTATACATGATAAATATATATAATTGTTATTTGTCAATTTAAAAATAAATAAGAATGGCTGGGTGAAATGGCTCACTTGTGTAATCCCAGCACTTTGGGAGGCCGAAGCGGGAGGATTGCCTGAGCCCAGGAGTTTAAGACTAGCTTGGGTAACATGGTAAGACCCCATCTCTATAAAAGTAAATAAGAATATCCAAAACAACAGATTTATAGTAAATATGGCATCAAATGATACCATAGTGCTGCAAGATAAAGTTGAAGAACTGTTAATTCTTAAGTATAATAAAGGTATAAAGGTATTGATCTTACATTTGCAAAATAAAACCTTATTTCTTAGAGATACATACTGAAATAGAAGAAATTACCCATCTGGGAGGAGGGCAGCGTATGGATGAAATAAGACTAGAGATGAATTGATAATGGCTGAAGCTAGGTGATGAGTACGTGGAAGCTCATTATACCATTTCTCTGCTTTTGTAAACAGTTGTCCCTTGGTATCCATGAGTAATTGGTTTCAGGACCTCTCAAAGATACTAAAATCCTCAAATGCTCAAGTCCCTTAAATAAAATGGCATAGTATTTGCATATAATCTACACATATCCTCCTGTATACTTTGAATCATCTCTAGATTATTTATAATACCTAATACAATGCAGATGCTATATAAATAGTTTCTGTATTGTTTAGGGAATAATGCCAAGAAAAAAAAGAAGTCCGTACATGTCCAGAACACAGCTTTTTTTTCCCCCCCAAATATTTTCCATGGTTGTTTGCCAGGGATGCAGAACATGCAGTTATGGAAGACTGAGTGTATTTGAAACTTCTCACTCTCACACAAAACTGATAGAGGCAACAAAAGAACATCTGTATTACATAAATGTAAAACTTTTTTTTTTTTTTTTTTTTTTTGAGATGGAGTCTTGCTCTGTCACCCAGGCTGGAGTGCAATGGCACAATCTTGGCTCACTGCAACCTCCACCTCCCAGGTTCAAGCAATTATCCTGCTTCAACCTCCCAAGTAGCTGGGATTCCAGACACGTGCCACTACATCCAACTAATTTTTATATTTTTAGTAGAGGTGGGGTTTCACCATGTTGGCCAGGCTAGTCTCAAACTCATGATGTCAGGTGATCTGCCTGCCTCAGCCTCCCTTATAGCTAGGATTACAGGTGTGAGCCACCACACCTGCCTGTAATACTTCTATAGAGTCTTTAGACTTAAAAATGAGACCCCCCGCCCCCCAAAAAAATGAACTCCTGGCTGGGCGCAGCAGCTCACGCCTGTAATCCTAGCACTTTGGGAGGCCGAGGTGGGTGGATCACCTGAGGTCAGGATTTCAAGGCCAGCCTGGCCATCACGGTAAAACCTATCTTTAAAAACAAAACAAAAAAAAAAAAAACTCCTAATATTAGGGCTCATCTTCACAATGTTAGCTGCTCTTTGAAAATCCATTATTAAGTAAGAAAATCCATTATTAATACTCTTCTGAAGCAAACTTGACAAGTGTCAGAAAGTGAAATGGCCAGGTAGCCCTTGAGCGTTATTCTCAATGTTGTGTTCTCTTTTTAATTCAACAGCATATTCTCAGCTATGACACAGTGGTGCAAACAACCGGAGACTCGTGGCACATACCATATGATGAAGACCTAGTAGAAAGATATTCCTATGAAGTACCAACCAAATGGCTTTGCCTCCACCGAAAGACATAAAGACTCTTACCTCTATGCTGAGTTTGTGTTTGAGTACCCTCTTGGCTGGCATAAGAGGCTCTTGAGTTGATGTTTGTTTAGGGCATTGCCTCTGTCCAAGGATTCTATTAACAGTGTTGATGTTGGTTTTATAATGAAATGAGATATAGTACGTTTTCATAATCAGCTGTATTTTTTTCCCTAACATTTCTTTTTGGAAGCTTATCAAGAGTTGGAGAACTCAGTGCAGAGTGAATCCTACATTTCTGCTACTAGGCCAGCTATTCATAAGTAGTACTTTTGATATCCATTTTGCTACTTCTGACCTTGCCTTCCAGGCCTACTGATAGCAGACCAATCCATCTGTCCCTGGGCTACTCACGTTGTTTCAAATCCCTTCTCCCATTTCTGACATGGTCTCATTTTCTATATGTTATGCCCTATTCACATGGAATCATTTATGGTCCTCTGTAATTAAACTGGCCAAGATACTAAAGGCTTGCTATTAATAGCAATTTTTAATTACTTATCCAATAATTTAGATTGGAGAAGAGGGAGCATTCACTCCTCTTTTTCTTTTTTTTTTTTTTTTTTTGGAAATAGAGTCTCAGCTTACCCTGTCACCGGGGCTGGAGTGCGGTGATACAGTCACAGCTCACTGCAGCCTCAAACTCCCAGGCTCAAACAATCCTCCCACCTCAGCCCTCCTGAGTAGTTGGAACTACAGGCATGTACAACCAGGCTTGGCTAATTGTTTTTTTTTTTTTTTTTTTTTTTTTTTGAGACGGAGTTTCGCTCTTGTTGTCCAGGCTGGAGTGCAATGGCGCGATCTCGGCTCACCGCAACCTCCGCCTCCCGGGCTCAGGCAATTCTCCTGCCTCAGCCTCCTAAGTAGCTGGGATTACAGGCACGCGCCACCGCACCCACCTAGTTTTTTGTATTTTTAGTAGAGACGGGGTTTCACCATGTTGACCAGGATGGTCTCGATCTCTCGACCTCGTGATCCACCCGCCTCGGCCTCCCAAAGTGCTGGGATTACAGGCTTGAGCCACCGCGCCCGGCCTTGGCTAATTGTTTTTTTTTGTTTTGTTTGTTTGTTGTTTTGTAGAGATGGCAGTCTTACTTCATTGACCAGTCTTACTTCATTGACCAGGTTGGTTTCCAACCCCTGGCCTCATTCAATCCCCAGCATGTTGGGAGGTTGAGGCGGGAATATCACCTGAATCTAGGAGTTCAAGACCAGCCTAGGCAACATAGTGAGATCTCATTTCTACAGAAAATTTAAAAATTAGCCAGCATGGCCGGGCACGGTGGCTCAAGCCTGTAATCCCAGCACTTTGGGAGGCCGAGGCGGGTGGATCACGAGGTCAAGAGATCGAGACCATCCTGGCCAACATGGTGAAACCCCGTCTCTACTAAAAATACAAAAAAAATTAGCTGGGCATGGTGGCACATGCCTGTAATCCCAGCTACTCAGGAGGCTGAGGCAGGAGAATTGCCTGAGCCCGGGAGGCGGAGGTTGCGGTGAGCCGAGATCGCGCCATTGCACTCCAGCCTGGGTAACAAGAGCGAAACTCCATCTCAAAAAAAAAAAAAAAAAAAAAAAAAAATTAGCCAGCATGATAGTGTGCACATGTAGTCCCAGCTACTTCGGACACTGAGGTGGGAGAATTGCCTGAGCCTCAGAGGTCAAGGCTGCAATGAGCCAATGTTGCACCACTGCACTCTGGCCTGGGTGACAGAACAAGATCCTGTCTCAAAACAAAACAAAATTCTGGGATTACAGGCTTGAGCCACAGTGCCGAGACTCGCTTCTCTTTAGACTGTAATGGTTTTTTCTTTATTCTATAAACCCTTTTCCAAATTGGTTCAACATTTTGTGAACCCTATTAATTTCATCATTCTGTATATGTGGGCTTTCTAAAATAGGCCTTTTTTTTTCTACTTAATCAAGTTCGACTTAGTGTAACAAAGTGATTATGTTTTAATAGTTGCATTTCTGTTTTGTCCACTCACTAGCTAGCTTACACTTTATTAGCCCTTGATTTCAGCTGAAAATGTTCATATCTGCACTCCTTTATGATAGTTCTTTCTTTACTTGTACATACTGTATGATTCAATATTCAAGAACAAGCAGAAACTACTCTATTGTGATAAAAATCAGAATAGTAGTTTCCTGCACAAAGGAATACAAGAGAACTTTCTAGGGGTGATGGAAAGTTTCTTATATTGATTTGGGTAATAGTAACATAGCTATATGTATATATTAGTTAAAATTCCTCCCATTACACATTTTAAATGGATACATTTACATTTATGACAATATACCTAAAAAAGTACGTTAGGGGGCCGGGCATGGTAGCTCAAGCCTGTAATCCCAGCACTTTGGGAGGCCGAGGCGGGTGGATCACGAGGTCAAGAGATCGAGACCATCCTGGTCAACATGGTGAAACCCCATCTCTACTAAAAATACAAAAAAGTAGCTGGGCATGGTGGCATGTGCCTGTAATCCGAGCTACTCAGGAGGCTGAGGCAGGAGATTTGCCTGAACCCAGGAGGCGGAGGTTGCAGTGAGCCGAGATCATGCCATTGCCCTCCAGCCTGGGTAACAAGAGTGAAACTCCGTCTCAAAAAAAAAAAAAAAAAAAGTATGTTAGGGTAAAAAAAGGTAATTGTTTTCATGAAATAAACACCAACCTCATCTACATCAAACCATATACATGTGCATAAATAGGGTAAGTATTATGCACAGAGAAACAATTCAGGAAAATCCAAGAAGGGGACGTTTCATCTTACCCATTTACTGAATTCAACATTACTGCACACCAAGACAAAAGAGCTTTCCAGGAAAACATAGGATATATCAAGAGCATTATAAGGTACTGAGAAAGCTCTCATAAATTCAGCCTGCTTATTTTCCAAATTTCATAAACTATATACTTAGAAACTGTGACTTCAGCAAACTAAACTTCTTTTTTAAGCAACTATCATAGTTTTAAGAAAAACATTTTAAGAAGACAAAAAGTATTGATTAAGCCCATCTAAAAGCCTAATGCAAATTCCCAACATAGGAACACATAGAGATAGAGGAGGAGGCCATCCTGGTGGCTCAAGTATGTTAATTTCAGCACTTTGGGAGGCCAAGACAGGAGGATCACTTTAGGCCCAGAGTTGAAGACCAATCTGGGCAACATAGTAAGATCATGTCTCTCTCTTTAAAAAAAAAAAAAAGAGAGAGAGAGAGAGAGGGAGAGAAGATACAAGAAAAAAACCTAGAACTTTTTTTTTTTTTAAGATGAAGTTTCGCTCTTTGTTCCCCAGGCTGGAGTGCAGTGGCATGATCTCAGCTCACTGCAACCTCTCCTCCCAGGATCAAGTGATTTTCCTGTCTCAGCCTCCCAAGTAGCAGGGATTACAGGCGCCCACCACCAAGCCTGGCTAATTTTTGTGTTTTTAATAGAGACAGGGTTTCACCACGTTGTCCAGGCTAGTCTCAAACTCCTGACCTCAGGTAATCTGCCCACCTCGGCCTCCCACAGTGCTGGGAGGCACAGGCGTGAGCCACCGCACCCAGCCACAAATTCCTAACTTCTGCTTGAGATAAACTGCTTACATCTGTCCCCTGTCCAGGAGTGAGAACATTTTTGGGGTTACTCAGAGTAAGTCGCACTGCCACAGTGACCTTGGAGAGTGCAGGGATTCTCTGAAGGAAGCAGCTGGTACCAGACACTTAGGCTGCCCATTAGTGTTCTGATCACTTGAGTGAAAAAAACCTACCTGTCAAGCAAGCTCCTGGACACAACAAGAAGAAGGAATTCTTTTAAAAGCTGTACTCTTAAATTGTTAGTAACTTTAAAATCAGTTGTGAACAATGAAGGATTTGAAAGAACATTGACTTTGCCACTTAAAAGTATTTCTAAAGTACTTTGTGCTTCCCCCTGGCATTCGGAATTTATACTATATTTTCCTCCTGCTGTTCTCAGACCCAGTGAAAAGAAAATCTCAAGGGTGAAGGCTGAGTTTATTCTCCCAGGGATCTGTTGGGACTACCTCATCTGAGGTGGCTTGCTCTTCATATGAAATAATTTTTTTCCTCAAGTCTGCACTTAAATGTAATTATTGCCTCCTTGGTTCTCTAGATTTGTAGATTTCTCACTCTTTTTTTAGATAGAGTCTTGACCTTTCATCCAGGCTGGAGTACTGTGGTGTGATCTCAGCTCACTACAACCTCTACCTTCCGAGTTCAAGCGATTCTCCTGCCTCAGAATCTGAGTAGCTAGGATTACAGGTGTCCACCATGCCTGGCTAATTTTTTTTCTTTCTTTTTCTTTTTTGGAGAAACAGGGTTTCATGTTGGCCAGGCTGGTCTTGAACCCCTGACCTCAGGTGATCCACCCACCTCAGCCTCCTAAAGTGCTGGGATTACAGGCCCGAGGCACCACGCCCAGCCGATTTCTCACTTTTTAAAAACTGTCCTAAGGTACTATAAAATGCATTGTTTTGGCCGGGCGCAGTGGCTCAAGCCTGTAATCCCAGCACTTTGGGAGGCCAAGGCGGGTGGATCACGAGGTCGAGAGATCGAGACCATCCCGGTCAACATAGTGAAACCCCCTCTCTACTAAAAATACAAAAAATCAGCTGGGCATGGTGGCGCGTGTCTGTAATCCTAGCTACTCAGGAGGTTGAGGCAGGAGAATTGCTTGAACCCAGGAGGCAGAGGTTGCGGTGAGCCGAGATTGCACCATTGTACTCCAGCCTGGGTAACAAGAGCGAAACTCCGTCTCAAAAAAAAAAAAAAAAAAAAAAAAAATGCATTGTTTTGGTCATGTGCGGTGGCTCATTCCTATAATCCCAGCACTTTGGAAGGCTGAGGTGAGCAGATCTCTTGAGCCCAGGAGTTTGAGACCAGCCTGAGCAACATGGGGAGACTTTGTCTACAAATGATTAAAAAATTAGCCAGGTGTCGTGGTGCAAGTGTGTAGTCCCAGCTACTTGGGAAGCTGAGGTGAGAGGACTGCTTAAGCCTAGGTGGCTAAGGCTGCAGTGAGCCATGGTTATGCCATCGCACTCCAGCAACAGAGTGAGACCCTGTCTCAAAAACAAAAATCAAACAAAAAAAAGACTTTACTACATATGCAACTTGTTCACATTAGAGCTCTTCTTTCCTGATAGCTTCATTCTAAACTGGAATGGAAAAGAAGGGTGTATTATATAGGCACTTGAATTCTGGTCCATCACAGTGAGCCTTACCTTCATTTGCTAAATGTCAAAATTATTGGGGTACCTGGGGGCAAAGCTAAATGAAGTCCATATCTGGTATTTTGCCCATCCTTCATAATTAAGAATTAACAGAGTGGAAAATGCCTAAAGAAGCCTTTTTGGGAATGACTTGGAGTATGGGAACATAGACTGCTGAGAGGAAACGTCTGTGTTTTGATTTGGGCCTTCTTTCAAGCAGGGAACTTAAGCAGATAGAATTTTCAGTAATAGGGACCAGGCAGCTGCTGGA